CCTCCCAAGTAGCTGGGACTATAGGCATGTGCCACCACACCCGGCTAATTTTTGTATTTTTAGTGGAGATGGGCTTTCACCATGTTGACCAGGATGGTCTCGATCTTTTGACCTCGTGATCTGCCCACCTCAGCCTCCCAAAGTGCTGAGATTACAGGTGTGAGCCACTGTGCCCGGCCAAAGGTCTGCTTCTTAATTAACTGTCTTTCCCCTATAACCTTACAAAGTGGGAAGTGTGAGGGAGCTTTCTGGGGCCTTGTTATATAAGGGCACTAATCCCATCTCCACCCTCATCACCTAACCATCTCCCAAAGGCCCCACTTCCAAATACCATCACCTTGAGCATTCAGATTTAACATGTGCATTTTAGGGGGACACACACACTTACCCTATAGCAAGAGGTAATTTGCTAAGATCTCACAGCTAGTAAGAGGCAGGTCCAAGATTTCAGCCTGATTATATCTAATGCCACAGCCCTGCTCTTCCCTCCCCCTCTTCCCCACCGCACACTGTCCCAGTGACCTGAGCTCCAGCTTTTAGTAGGGCTGTACCTTGTTCTAAGTGTCAGATTCACCACAGGGAGAAAGTTGTCTCCAGACCAAGGGCAAGAGGGAAGGTGGAACTCAGGAAGCTACTGGGCCTCCCTGAGATCCCAGATTGGAAACTGACAGCAGGCTTGGCTGTTCTGTGACAGCCTAGATTATGTCCAAATCATGTATGGAGTCAGAACAACCTCCCTAGCACTTTCTCTGGCCCACGTGCATGGTGAGCCCGCCATCTTATCCCTTCTTACAGGAAAACTGGGGTCTTTGCCTTCCAGGCTATTCTTCTCCCAGCAACTTAGGCATCAGAGCAGCCTGATTGGGCACATCTGCCACCCATCTGTCCCTAACTCTTATCAATGGTGTGAGATGTGTTCTGGGCCTCAGTCCTGAACTTCACAGGGAAGCAAAGCCAGGCCACCCTCTTCCTGTGTGATAGTCTAGAAGAACTAGACTATCACATACTGGAACCTGCCCAGGCCTAACACCTGTGGATTTGGCATCTCCAGCCAATCTCACGATGAGACCCACCTGAGCCCCACTAATGTGTACCTCTGGCCCTTCTGCTGGAGAGGACTCACGCAGCTTCTCCAGGGCCCACTTTCCACAGGCAGGAGGCTCTGTCCTTCACCTGAGCTCCTCCCGCACATCTTTTTCTAAGGAGAACTTTCCCAGGGAGCTTGCATTCACAGGAGAGCCGCCCTGGTACTCCACAGTCTCTGGGCTCCCCAGGGCCTCTGAGGTCTCCCCAGACCCAGAAATCAGACACTCGGTGTTGTACCAAGTGTGCAGATAACTTTGGAAAGAAGACATGAATTCTGTACATCAAAGTCATGTTGACCTCAGGTCCGAACAACAACAGATTGATTCCAGCTTGAAAGAAGCTGGGGAAGGGAAGAACAGTGGGGATGGTCGGAGCTGGGCCAGAAGTGCCTTTTCTTGTGCTGGATTCTGGGTTATGGGCCATCCCTCTGCCAGATCTACCTGCCCAGGGCACTCTTTATAGGAGGGGAAACAGGTGCTAACCCACACCCTATTCTAGTTCCAGTCTGGGCAGGTCCAACTCTGGAGTGATGTGAAGAGCAGGCTGCTTGGACTGGCCAACCTGGGTCCAGGAGTGTGAACTTCTGCCTTTTCCCCCGACCTTGGTTCCTGGCAGGCACCAAGGCCAGTGAGTGGAATGAGTAACACAAAGTGCCTGTCCAACCCCACAGCTTATTACCTTCACTGGGGGAAGCAACGATGTTCAGGTGTGCGGCACAGGTTGGCACTACCTAGCAGCTGTCTTTAGTTTATAGGATCCAGTTAGCCATTTTGTTAGCCCTTTTGTTAGCCCCTTCATTAAATGATATTGCTCCTTGCAGCACAAATATGTCCCAACCTCCTCCCCCCCAGATCATCAGCCGCCAAATGAAGCAAACCAGACATTGGGTAGTCTTTCCTCTGTTTACTCTTTACACCATTTGATCAATTCCAACTTTTTTCACAATGCCATTATTATTGGGGGAAAGGGAGTAACTTCAAGTTAATCTAGAGAGAAGCAAATGCAATACAGTTCTGACTGAGATGCGGATTCCTTTTTGTTAAATGCCTGCTGCGTCCTTGGTTTCCCATTCACCTGGGAGTTAGAATTAAAATCATTCCATAGTTCCGTGCAAGGAGGTCAGCTCCAACTGTGCTCTTGAGCAGGCTGTCTGGGTCCTCAGGAAAAGCCACTCCAGTTACTCACACATTCTCTGAGAAAGCTTGTCGTCTCTGCCATCTGTCTCTGTGTAGGAACTGCCAAAGTCCTTGAGGTGGTTCCCCATCTCAAATAAGCAGTGAATGGGTTACTTCCCTCATTCTCATCCTTTCGTCCGCCCTTGTGTCAGTTTGAATCTTCCAGGAAGCAGCTTTCAAGATGGAGTTAGAAGTGCAAGTGAGTAATTAGGGGTGGTTCCCGTGAAAGATAAAGGGGAGAGGGTGCAGGCGGGAAAGCCTCAGACCCCAGTGCAGGCTGTGAAGGGAGAGGCGGGGGAACCAGGGAGGACTAAAATGCACCTTAGGGTACAGTAAGTCCTCACTTAAGGTAGTTGATAGGATCTTTGAAAACTATGACTTTTTAATAAAATAATGTAGAGCAAAACCAATTTTCCAATAGGCTAACTGCTATAAGAATTAAATTCACAACATATTTCTGGTCATAAACATATCATCAAACTTCTAAATAAAGACCAAACACTTTAATATTTAACACTGAAATATACATATAAATGTAAACATATATACATTTAAGAATGATTACTAGGCCAGGAGTGGTGGCTCACCCCTGTAATCCCAGCACTTTGGGAGCCCAAGGCAGGAGGACAGCTTGAGCTCAGGAGTTTGAGACCAACCTGGACAGCATGTCAAGACCTTACCTCTACAAAAAACACCAAAAAATTAGCCAGGCATGGTAACATGCACCTGTAGTCCCAGCTACTCAGGAAGCCGAGGTGGGCAGATCACTTGAGCCCAGGAGGTGGAGGTTGCAGTGAGCCAAGATTGTGCCACTGCACTCTGGCCTGCGTGACAGAGTAAGACTGTCTCA